ACACAAATATTGTTACAGTACATGACTGCAATTATTTCAATGCAAATACTTTGTCTCATAGTCATTTCTATTTTCTGCTGGTATATTTACAATTCAAATGAACATAAAGAGAGTCCGTACAATGCAAATAAAATTAAATATGTAAGCCTTCTTGTTGCCCATTTTGGGTTATAGTTTATGTGCTTGTATTAAAACACAGTTATCAGTTGCGCATTTAACATGGTAAATGGAAATTTTAAAATGTAAACTCTGAGGTATAACCTGCAAGAATCCTAATACCCCGCAAGAATCCTAATACCATATCATACATATATCATAAATCCTCACTACCATTGCACTTTGTATATGGCTACCACTACAACTTCATATCAATTAAAAGTCCATTTGTATAATTTCACATAATATTATTTCTGTGTTCTCTCTCAGTATAAAATTTGTCGTATTTAGGTATTAAAACCAATTGCACAATGTACATCACGAACATGTATCTGTCAAATTAAAAAATCTATCACCAATGACCAATTCATTGCAGTATTTTCACCAGGAATGTGACTTATAAAGATACAGAGAATTTATATCATACACACAATTTAGTGGAAAGAAGCTGCATTTAACCATCAACTAAAAATAAGTTGTGTACCTTGATTCAGTATGTGTTTTGCCAGGCATGTGATCAAATTTTAATATCAAAGCATCACAATCCCATTGCAATATTTTACAAGGAACAGGATAGAAAAGAAAGTGAACACAGAGAATTTTCATCACACAAAAACAAATTCAGTGGATTGAAGATTGAAGCTGCATCTAGCCATCATGGCAAAACCTTTTTGTAGCTTGATTGGGTACGTGTTTTGCTAGGCATGTGATCAACTTTTAATTGCATCTCATTTCCTTATCCTTATCCTCCTTTAAATTCTCCAAAGCCTTGCTAAATGGATTTTAGTAATTGTACATGCCAGCTGAAGTCACCAATTTAGAGAAACATAACGTATGAATTTAATTGATTCATGCAGCACGGTTTCAATGATTATTCTGGTTTAAAAACACCCCCCCCCCCCCTCCATTTCCACACACCCTTTTCCTGGTTGAATGATTTTTGTATCATCTTACTCTTCTACAAATTCCTCTTCATTGGTTCAACAGCAATGCTAAATAGCTGCAATTTTTTCAATATAAAAAAATACAATGACGCAATGATAAAGATTATTTAATTGATCATTCTTGAAATAAGCCAGGGAAGCTTTCCTTTAGTGCTTAGAGACTTCGTCGTAAGCGCTTTTATAATTAACATTTTTATTATTAAACACAAGAATCTTTAGATTTTCACAAACACAAGAATCTTTAGATTATCACTTTTCCATAGCTTTTTAAAAGTTCCCAAAATCAGGGAATCTTTTGTGAGGAAATTGATTTGAGCTCAAAATTCAGGGATGCCAGTTGGAATTGATCAGAGGGCCTGAAAACCACCTAGAATAAGCTATTTTGTACACAAAAAAGCCTAAACTATGGTATGAAAATAACTTGCCAGGGCCTGAATTTAGGCTAATGCCTGAAAATTGGCATCCTGAAAATTGCTTTCAGCTTGCAGGGATTTTTAATATAATTACAGATTTTAAAAATATAACTTGCCATATTATATCAGCCTAATCCTTGCGCATCATATTCTGTTCAATGATTTGTTAACACCCCTAACCTGGGAATATTCACACAAAGAAGAGAACGGTCGGCGTGGCAATACAAGAAATTTACGTCATACAGATGTGAGAAATGGCATAGTAACGAGAACTGGGAAACAGGGGGTGTATTGGTCACTTGTAAACATGATTTGATCTATCTATCTATCTATAAAGGTATCTTCTCCCATCTCAGAGGTTGATGGCAGCAATCTACCGCACATCTCTGTTCTCTGCCATCCTAGTTCACTCTTGCAATGTCATTCCACTGTCTTAATGTTCCCCTCCGGGTCACTAGTTCTCAGTTTCCCTATTGGTCTGGTACTACCTTCCACTTTTCCTTCCAACAAATCTTTCAAGGGACTCTGATGTCTTTTAATGTGGCCAAAGTATTTCACTTTTATCTCTATTATAACCATTATTATCAGGAGATTTTCTTTGACTCCTAGTATATGCAGTATTTTTATGTCAGTTTTCATGATTATGATAAATATAATGAATTTTTGAAGCTAAAGTTTATTTTGAAGCTAAAGACAATTTCAATATTGAATTGATTGACTTTCCTCCAAAACTAAGACACAACCATTTTCTTTGCATAAAAAAGATGACAATCATATAATCTGTATGTACTTATTCTAGGAATTGCTAGCACCAAACACATATATCCAGGGCTCAATATTAAAAGGAGCACAGTACATGAGGGCCCCACAATTCTAACTCCTGAGTCCTGACTCCTCTCTTCCTCCCCCCCCCCCTCCCACCTCCCCCCCCCCCCAAAAAAAAATATTCTGAAGAGCTGGTGTGGGGCTCTGTTGTATCATGTTATTATATTCTTTTTTTCCAACCTGAAATAAAGAAGGAACTTGATTTTTTTTTAAACAAAAATTGGAGAAAATTGTGTTCCGTGAACTGTCTTTGAAGTTTCTCACTAAAGCATATATTGATTCATCTGTCATTCTAACTGGATTCTTCTTCCATAAGTTTAGGAATAACAAAGAACATGTCATAGCAGAATTAAGTGTACCGGTACAGATATACATTATAAGATTCAAAGGGGGGTATTTAGCTGCCCCTCTGCCCCAATCTTTCCTACCTTCGTCCCCAAATTTTAAGCAGCAGCTGGCAGAGCCGGCCCTCCCAGAAAGTTTGAGGCACACGTGCCACCTCCCTAGAATCAATACACCCAGGGTGAAGTAGTTGAACAGTTCAATGTCGCTGAAAGCGCTCGTAAAGCCTTTCTTTTGTCTCTTTATGGATTATTGTTTGTGATGGTTGGACGCACATGACAGATGCTTTCAAATGAAAACCCAGGTCTGAAGTGAAAACCTACAGAGACACTTTTGTTGAAAACTAGTGATCTGATTGGTGGGGTTATGCTACGCTAATGAGATTGATTACTCACATGGCAGCAAGGAAAACATTACATCAAGATATTTTTTTAATGTATTTGCATATTGCTATGTAGGCAAATCTTGGTCTAAATGAGAAAAATATAAATTATTGCCATTCAAATGTAGATGGCATTATTCACATCAGCAGTGAACCCCAAAAGTAACAAATCCCAACTCTATTATTCTTGGTCTAAGTTGCCTCAAACCACGCCCCCCCCCCCCCCCCACTCCGTGATTGGAGTGACTGCATTCGTGTTCCCAAAAGTCCGGCCCGAGAATTGTAAAAAAAGGTGTTTTTTTCTCTCTCTCCTGAGAAATTTTAAAAGGGGGTTGTAGAATATCTTGAATATCATAAATAAGGGGTACATCGAGCAGTGTTCCGGATTTAGGGGGGGGGGGGGGTCTCTAAGGCAGGAAAAGCCCACGAAAGGGGGGGGGTTCAGAAATGTTGGCAGTCCTGAGACAGGGGGTGCTTTCAAAGGAAGAGAACGAGCATACGCGTACCCTAAATAACACTGAGTGAGAGGGCCGGGCCTCATACTATTTTTTAAATCTACCTTTTGTTCTGCTTTTTAATATAATTGAACAAACTTATTTGGGGGACTGGCGATCGACTGCCTGTTAATATCACTTTATTTGTATGCTTTAGAATGTTAAGTTTCAGTGTTCTATAACGAAACATTTGTGTTTATCAATGGCTTAACTCCAGTGCTAATAAGAGCAAATTCACATTAAATGTTGAATTAGCAATTACTGGAGGGGGGGGGGGGGGGTATTCCTGTGGTGATCGATAACATTGTTTTTGATCTTGTCATCATTATCATAATTATATATTATCATTATTATCATCATCATCATCATCATCAGTATCATCATTATCATTATCATTATTATAATTATTATTATTATCATTATCATTATTGTTATTATTATTGTAGTATTTTCAATAATTAGATTATTAACTTATTATCAATATAATTCTGATTTATGGTCATAATTAATGGGAGGGGGAAAGGGATCTTTTACAATAACCCTAAGGCTTGGGTCTTTCCCCCTGTATAAATAGGGACTTTTAGATTTGCACGTCGACATAGTGGACGTACGTGTGACGTTGTCGTCCTTTTAAGGCACTGGTAAAAGGAGGTCACATTACCTTATTAAGGACGTCACACGTAGCAGTCCACTTTATATGCAAATCTAAAACTCCCTAATGATTAGGATATGCAGGGTACACAGGGTCCCCCACCCTCCCTACTATGATTAACAAGAAGTACAGTGGTGTAAGGAAGTCTGTCTCCTACAAACAGTCACAGGGCATCCATTTAACCTCCTATCCAAGGGATTTTGGAAAACTTTACACGATTCTCTCTGTCATAATAATAAAACATGAGTAAGGAATGATTCAGAAATATATTTTATTGGGTCTATAACTATGTACATATAACAAAATCTGTCTGCTTGGAGGTTTTTTCAACATATATCTTTTTTGTCGTTTGACAGAGCCAGAAATTCGGTGAATCAGCTCAGCAGCTCGCAGCTGAACATATCCAAACTTCCAAAGAACTTGAATGGATCTAGAACATGAGCTTTGAGCTAGTCAATTACACCTTGATTAGCATATTCGGTTTGAATTTGTATTAATCTTTCCAGTTATGAACCTCTATGACTGAAAAAAAAACCTTCAAAAGAATGTGTGAGAATTTAATGTCAATTTTAAACCTGGAGAAGAAGAACGGCGCGCAATATGTGCTGGATACCTACCGCGCGCGTCCCGCATCTCGATCTCTCGATGACGCTGGCCTCACGACCGCTGAGCGCACCCCATCGACCATCCCAACCCTTGCGATATCCATATCCAATTCCAAGCACCATCCAAATCCATTCAAACGTCAAAATAATCCATGGGAGAAGCTCAGTTTAAAGAAATTTAACTCACCGATTGTCTGCACTTTCTCATCTGTCAAAGTTTTCCTTTTCTTCTGTCACAGGCACAATTTGTTCAGATGGAGTAGTATAAAGTGTCTCTTTTTGGAGGAACGCAGGAGCACAACACAAGCAAATTTGGAATTTGAAACCGCGACTGAACTCGACTTTAGCAGACTACACAGCTAGCCACACAATTACAACGCGAGGTTTAGCTCACAAGAGGGCGCCTCATAGTCCAGAGCCATTGATTAGGAGAGTTTTGTCAACCCGGTTCGAGTCGGTCACTGCTTTTATTTTTTGGCAAGCATAAAACAAAATAATATTGTGACCAAGTGAAACCAGTTGGTCAAACTCTGTGTATAGATGGCTCTGCTAGGGCCAAACGAAAGTGTGCCAAAATAGGAATTGCACATGTCCTGTTGTTGGAAGGGATGCTTCTAGCAATAATTATTTCTCTTGGAAATGCTTTTTAATTGTCCATTTTTTCTAGAAACTGGAATAAAATGTGATTTTTCTAGCATTTTGTCCGAAGTAACAACTTCGCTAAATAAAATGTTTACATTTCGGGGGAAAAATCAGACTATTGTTGATCATGGTTTTAGTTTCAACTCACTGGTTAATCCTCAGTAGTACGGTACCGGTATCAATAAGTTCAAATCCGAAAGCTGTTAGGTGCGCGTCGGCTCAAATTTAGGCTTAAATATTGTAAATATGGAGATAGAAAATTGGTTCTAATTTAAAAAGTGGCAACAAAAATTGCAGCCAAATTTGGTTTCAATGTAAATCTATATCATTCTTGGGAAGTTTGTATTTTTTTTATTTTAAAAGCGGAATTCGGGAACAATGTTAAAATTTCTCATGAGGTAATGAACACAAAAATATGCGTTCAAGCAAGTTCATCACAAATAAGTTATGAATAATAAGCTTTCGGATTAGAACTGACTGATATTAAAAGGAATAACTATGAAAAACATCAGACTTGGAATTCGATGGTCTTTAAAATTCTTCATAACTTTTGTGCCTCTCAGACTCATTACAATTTGTTTCTCATTACATTTTTTTAAACATGCTATTGGAAATCTTTCTTTACCAAAATCATGCACACAGGGGCGTCGCCAAAAGGGGGGTGTGGGGGTGCGACACCCCCCCCCCCCACCTGTCAGGATATTGTCGGTAAAATTGCACTGCCGTCGGGAAAAGAAGAGAAAAGGGGGAGGGAAAAAAAGAGAGGGAAAGGGAAAGAAAAGAAAAAAAGAAAAGGAAAAGAAAAGAAAGAAAGGAAAGGAAAGGAAAGAAAGGAAAAGAAATGAAAGAAAAGAGAAGGATGAAAGAGAAAAAAGAACAAGAGGGAGGAGAGGAAAGAAAGGAAAAGGAAGAAAAGAAAGAAAAGGAAAAAAAGAAGAAAAAAAAAAGGGGAAACAAAAGAAACGGGGGATGTAAGAGAGGAGAGAAGAGAGGGGAGGTAAAAGCCTGAGAGAGGAGGAGTGGGAGTGAAAGAGAGAGGGGGTTGTTGGGTGGAGTCGTCTCGTCGAGGGAGCAAGAAAGACACGGGTAAATATGTTGCTGTGTCGGGTCAGCTGTGTCGGTATTCTTGCTCGATTCTCGTGTACTATATCAATGCACAAGTTTAAAGTCGGTGAGATGTATATTGTCCGTCGGCCGACAAATTTTTTTCCCCTACGAACTGTGACTTTTTATTCTCTGTGACGACTTCGAGAGTGACTACAACTACAATATTTGTATTTTCTCGAAGTTTCACTTTCCTATAATATCTGCTAAAGAAATCAGAGGTTAATTTTTTTTCGGGGAAACTAAATTCAAACAACGATTAAGAGTCAACAACGGTACGATGAATCGTCTTCCTTTCTCATTTTGATGAAACGCCAAAAATACCGCGCTTTGCGCGGGAGGGGAAAACTTATTTAGACGAGTCGGGAATGGTACAACGAATCGTTTTCTTTCTCTAATAATTTAAGGAAACGTCTAAGCTTCCGCGATTCGCGCGGAAAGGGGAAAAACTGAATTCAGATAAGGATTATTGAGTCGAAAACAGTACAACGAATCTTCTGCTTCCTCTAATATTTTAAAGAAACGTCAAAGCTTCCGCGCTTCGCGCAAAAGGGGGAAACTAGGTTCAAACAATTAGGGCTTATTAAGAGTCGAAAACAGTACAACGAATCGTTTGCTTTCTCTAATAATAAGGAAACGCCAAAGCTTCCGCGCTTCGCGCGAGAGGGGGGGAACTGAATTCAGATAAAGTGTCGCGAACGGTACAACGAATCGTCTGCTTTCTCTAATAGTTTAAGGGAACGTCAAAGCTTCCGCGCTTCGCGCGGGAAGGGGGAAACTGAATTCAGACAAGGATTAAATGTCGAAAACGGTAAAACGAATCGTCTTCTTTCTCTAATATTAATGAAACGTCAAAACTTCCGCGCTTCGCGCGGGAGGGGGAAACTTCATTCAGACAATTAGGGCTTATTAAGAGTCAAAAACGCTTTGCGCGAGAGGGGGAAACTGAATTCAGATAAAGAGTCGAAAACGGTGGCAACGAATCGTCTTCTTTCTCTAATAATTTAAGGAAACGTCAAAACTTTCGCGCTGGAGGGGGAGACCTGAATTCAGACAAATTAGGATAAAGAGTCGAGAACAGTACACCGAACCGTCTACTTTTTGTCATAATTTAATGAAACGTCAATGCTTGCGCGCTTCGCGCGGGAGGGGGTAGAAACTGAATTCAGACAAGGATTGAGAGTCGAGCACGGTTCAACGAATCTTCTACTTTCTCTAATAATTTAAGGAAACGTCAAAGCTCCCGCGCTTCGCGCTAAAGGGGGAAACTGAATTCAGACAATTAGGGCTTATTAAGAGTCAAAAACGCTTCGCGCGAGAGAGGGAAACTGAATTCAGATAAAGAGTCGAAAACGGTGGCAACGAATCGTCTTCTTTTTCTAATAATTTAAGGAAATGTCAAAACTTTCGTGCGGGAGGGGGAGACCTGAATTCAGACAAATTAGGATAAAGAGTCGAGAACAGTACACCGAACCGTCTACTTTTTGTCATAATTTAATGAAACGTCAATGCTTGCGCGCTTCGCGCAGGAGGGGGGTAGAAACTAAATTCATACAAGGATTGAGAGTCGAGCACGGTTCAACGAATCTTCTACTTTCTCTAATAATTTAATGAAACACCAAAACTGCCGCGCTTCGCGCGGAACGGGGATAACTGAGTTCAGATAAGGATTGAGAGTCGAGAACAGTACACCGAATCGTCTGCTTTTTCTCATAATTTAATGAAACGTCAAAGCTTCCGCGCTTCGCGCGGGAGAGCCTATCACCCACACCCCTATAATGAGCACACAAGCGCTCTTTAAGTGATTCGCTTGCTCACTACCGCCGCTGCCTAAAATAAAGATCCCAGCTCCGCGCCTGCATTAAAATATATAGGTATGATCAGGCGCGTACGCAGGATTTTTTCAAGAGGGGGGGGGGGGGGGGGGGGTTAACATTTATAAATCGGGCCGAAAATTTCGCAACGACTCAGCCAGCCACTGAATAAGAGCGGGGGGGGGGGGGGGTTCCAAAAAAAAATCGCAACGACTCAGCCGATCGCTGAATAAGTGGGGGGGGGGGGGGGTAAGAGGACAGCTGTTTTTTTGTTGTTTTTTTTGGTCTCGAAATTTGAAAATTTGACATTTTGCTCCGTTTTTTAATAAATAAAAAAAAAAATTAAAAAAATTAAAAAAATCCAAGGGGGGGGGGGGGGTTGCACACAAAAAAATACCAAAGGGGGGGGGGTTTAACCCCCCCCCCTCCCTGTGTACGCGTCTGGGTATGATGCTGACTAAGTTGACGAAATAATTCGTATATTTATGTCGTCGAGGAAAATGCCAATTTGCGCATACGCAAGTACTATAGATAGTCAATAGGAAAAACAATTTATCCTTCGGCCCCGGGTTTAAGGGTTAAATTTGTAGATATTGGGACATTTAATTTTGTCGGTAATCGTTGGCCTCTACACCCCCCCCCCCCCCCACTGAAAAAGGTCTAGCGACGCCCCTGCATGCACATACCGAATCATTTCGCAGAATATTTTTATTTCGGGGGCCGGAGGGGGGGGGGGGGGGGGGGGAGGGAGGGGGGGGGGGAAGACGTGGGGATTTTGTTTTAAGGTGCATTCAATTAAATTTTTCACCCTAGAATCACGCTTTTAAAAAACGTTTAGTTTAAAACACCGTTGCGTCGGTCGTAAAAATTAACGTGTTTTAAAATAAAAACACAAACTTGAAGCGCTGAAAAAGATGCGTTTTGTATCATGATTCTGCAGAATCACGGTCGCGAAAATTCGACTGAACGTATACGGAGATCTCAATCATGATTATGTGTCATCATTATCGTGGCCTTTTCCGTCATGTTAATCCTTGTTTTCCTTCTATCATTTTCTCTTTCTGTTTTTATTATGTTATTCTCCGTTGTTCCATCTCCTTTTCTTTCTATCCAATGTGACACTTAAGTCTAGTGGAATCGGGTCCGACACCCAGCTCGTGCTTTTTATTTTGCTACATCTACAACAATTAGTATAATTATGAAAAAATACAGGAATTAGCAATGTGACACTTTAGTCTAGTGGATAGGCAATCGCCTGGTAACTGGAAGGAATCGGGTTCGACTTTTTGCACCATGAAAACAATGATGAACTGGGTTTTACTTCTCCTACAAATTTAATAAAAGCGCCCTATAAATTCTTGTACGAGGTGATACAAAGGGCCTTTCAAATTTAAGTCCATGAAAGCATTCCCCCACCTAGCCTGTTTGACCGAGCAGAATCAACAATAAAGACCCACAGTCTTGAGTAAAGAGGTCCATTAATTGTTTTTTATTCAGTTATTTGTTTTAATTGACAGTGTACTATTAAATATCAGGTAAATTGGATGCTCTGTTTCAAATACAGTCAAGACTGCCGAGCAATGCAATGAATTACCTCCTGCTTCTTGTCCTCAAACCATATCTAACTGGTTTTTAAAACGGTATCATTTTAATTCCATTTCCCAACATTATTTTGAACTGTCTTGAACTGAAGTTGTTTTTCCTTTCTTGAAATGACACTACAGCCAGTCTATTCTGTTCCTGTAGGCGTATTGAAAGAGCTTGTCCTCCCAGACAAGGAGAAAGAGCCATTTTAAGTACCTTTAGGGACAATACATCAAAATAATGCGGTCATTGTTGCAATGTCAGGAATGCTATTTTCACCTCTTTGGAAATCCTCGCAATGACAAAAGTATTCACTCGATGAAGGGAGTGTCCGTTCTTTTCTTCAAAGAGCTGAGTAGTTTGTTACGTAAATATTCAAAATGATGAGGGGGGGGGGGTTGCCTGCCCGCAAAAATTAGATTGACATTACCTTACACACGATTATGCCCGCCCCGACCTGCAACAATGAAACGAATTTGATATAGCAATTTATTAAGAGAA